AGGCTCTGAGCTGTTAGCACAGAGCCCGATGCGGGGCTCGAACTCACAGATAGTGAGGTCATGACTTAAATCGAAGTCAGATGCTTAACCGACTGAGCCACCCAGGCTGCCGCCCCCCCACCTTCGTATCTTAATAGGTACTGCATTTATCTGGTAACTCAATGGTTGATTTTCCTCATAGTACTTACCACAACTATCATTATGTCATTTGTCGCCTCACTTTTGTCATTGTTACTTTTTGTCATTTGTTTTGTCTTTCATATTAGAATATAAGCCCCAGCAAAACAGGGGCAGGCTCTGTCTTTTTGAGAATTATATCTCCGGTGCCTCATGAAGTGGCCTGGTGCATTGTTGAAGCTCAGGGAACATTTATGGAGTAAAACGAGTGAGGAAATGGCAACATCTGTCCAGAACACAGTCAGCAATCAACATTAGAAGAAATCAAATAGGAGAACTTTGAGTGTATAACAAAAATGGCACCAAGTCTACCCACTATATTTTAAAAATGCAAGAGTCTTATACAGTCGTCAAAATTCAATTTCTTATGGTTGCAGGACTGAAGTTCCGGGTAGAACTGAGGCCCCCGTTTCCTTGCTGGCTGCCAGCAGGAGACTGGTCTCAGCTTCCTTTACATGTGGCTCATTCCTCCACTGACAAACCAGCAAATGTGTATCAAATCTTCCTCATGCTTCAAACTTCTGACTTCCTCATCTTTTACCAGCCAGAGAATACTCTGCTTTTAAGGAGATCATGTAAGGGGAGCACCTGGCCCAGAGAGTCGAGTGTCTGACTCTTGATTTCAGCTCAGGTCATGATCCCAGGGTTGTGGGATTGAGCCCCCCCCCCCACATTGGGCTACTCATGGAGCCTGCTTGAGATTCTCTCTTTCCCTCTTTCCCCTCTCCTACTCACTTGCGCTCGCACGCTCTCTCTCTCTCTCTCTCTCTCAAATAAAATTAGGGACACCTAGGGGCTCAGTCAGTTAAAACAGTCAACTTCAGTTCAGGTCATGATCTCACAGCTCGTGGGTTCGAGCCCCGTGTCGGGCTCTGTGCTGACAGCTCAGAGCCTGGAGCCTGCTTCAGATTCTGTGTCTACCTCTCTCTCTGCCCCTCCCCTGCTCACACTCTGTCTCTCTCTCTCAAAACTAAATAAACATTAAAAGAATTTTTTTCTTTAAATAAAATTTTAAAAAATTAAATTAAAAAAATTTTTTTTAAATCCTATAAGTAGTTTATCCCTACCCAGACCTATCTCTCTATCATAAGGTCCACTAATTAGTAGCTTTAATTTGTTGCTGTGAGAACTGGGGAGACCCCCTGGCCCTGAGGCTTTCCCCTAGCCATCCCAAAGATGTCACCGAAGAATCTTGGTCACATAAAGAATTCAATGACAGGGGCATCTTGGGTGTCTCAGTTGGTTAAGCATCCAACTTCAGCTAATGTCATGATTTCATGGTTCATTGGTTCGAGCCCCGAATTGGGCTCTGTGCTGACAGCTCAGAGCCTGGAGCCTGCTTCAGAGTCTGTGTCTCTCTGCCTTCCCCCACTTCTCTCTCTCTCTCTCTCTCTCAAAAATAAACAAACATTGGGGCGCCTGGGTGACTCAGTCAGTTAAGCGTCCATCTTTGGCTCAGGTCATGATCTCTTAGTCTGTGGGTTTGAGCCCCGTGTTGGGCTCTGTGCTGACAGATCGGAGCTTGGAGCCTGCTTCGGATTCTGTCTCTCTCTCTCTCTCTCTCTCTGCCCCTCCCCCCTCACACCCTGTCTCTATCTCTCAAAAGTAAACAAATGTTTTTAAATTTTTTTAAATAAATAAATAAACATAAAAAAAATTTTAACCCGTTACATTTGGTTCATCAGATGTGTTTTAGATACCTGCTTCCTCCTAGGAAATCAGATGACACCAAATTGTACTTAATTGAATCAGGGCACTTAATTGAATAAACCAGGTAAGTAAAACATTGAAGAAAATTCCATCCATAATTTTATGGCAAATGTAGACTTGTACATTCTCTTTAGGCATTTTGTCGGAAGAGGTGTTTGGGACCTGTAGCAGGTTGGGAGCGGAGAGAGACCTGGGGGCGCCAGGAAATACAGACAGATCCTGGGCACAGGGAGGAGGGGTGTGGGGAGAAGAGAAAGAGGGTGTTTCCCAGTCATCTCCTTCTTCCCTTCCCTTTCTTTGCCACGGTTTGATGAAATGAAAAGGGAACATTTAGTTATTGGTCTACAAACCTCCAGGAGCGTAAAGACAGGTGAGGGATTTGCCTGCGCTGCTCCGGGGTTTCTTGGCAGCATTAAGCATAATCACAGAACAGTTGTTGCCTGTAAATGTAACCCCTTGGTAAGCCACACTTTTAATAATCATGAAGTTAAATGCAAGCCATAGTTAGGAATTCTCAGACTTATAGTCTTCCTGGACTGAAGACTCAAAAAACCTGATACTCAGATGCTGCAGTAAAGAGTAAACACAGGGGCACCTGGGTGGCTCAGTCATTTAAGTGTCCAATTTCAGCTCAGGTCATGATCTCACGGTTTGTGGGTTCAAGCCCTGCATCGGGCTCTGTGCTGAACTCTTGCTCAGAGCCTGGAACCTGCTTCGGATTCTGTGTCTCCTTCTCCCTTTGTCCTTCCCCTGCTCACACTCTGTCTCACTCGGTCTCAAAAATAAATAAATGTATAAAAGGGGCGCCTGGGTGGCTCAATCGGTTAAGCGTCCGACTTCAGCTCAGGTCATGATCTCGCAGTTTGTGGGTTCAAGCCCCGCGGCGGGCTCTGTGCTGACAGCTAGCTCAGAGCCTGGAGCCTATCTTCAGATTCTGTATCTCCTTCTCTCTCTGACCCTCCCCTGCTCACACTGTCTCTCTCTCTCAAAAAAAAAAAAAGGAATAAACATAAAAAAAATTTTTTTTTTTTTTTAAAAGAGTAAAAACAATGTAGTTGGCCATGGACGTTGGCAAAGGATAAGCTCCACAGTTTGACTTTCCGTGTCTCTCAACACTGTAACATCATTTATGTGACTATTGCACTAGCATCTGTCTTTCCCACCATAAATGCCATACAGGCAAGGGCCAGGTCTGTTTCCTCTCACTGCTGTGACTGGAGCGCCCACACTATGCCAGGCATCCAGTCAGCACAGGTATTTGAATGAATGGGATACATACATTTTCTCACAATAAACTATAACTGGAAAACTTAGAAGTTCTCTCAAACATTGATAATTCTATTTTTTCAATGTTTATTTTTGAGAGAGAGAGTGAGCGGGGGGGGGGGGGGGGGGGGCAAAGAGAGAGGGAGACACAATCAGAACCAGTCTCCAGGCTCTGAGCTGTTAGCGCAGAACCTGATGCAGAGCTTGAACTCATGAAGCGTGAGATCATGACCTGAGCCAAAGTTGGACACTTAACTGACTGAGCCACCCAAGCGCCCTGATAATTCTCTTAACACGAGGCTGAGGCCAGGTATAAAACTCAAATGCTACCACTAAAGTAAACTGTTGTGGGGCGCCTGGGTGGCTCAGTCAGTTAAGCATCGGCTTCGACTCAGGTCATGATCTCACGGTTTGTGGGTTCGAGCCCTGCATTGGGCTCTGTGCTGACAGCTAGCTCAGAGCCTAGAGCCTGTTTCGGATTCTGTGTCTTCCTCTCTCTCTGACCCTCCCCTGTTCAGGCTGTCTCTCTCTCTCAGAAATAAATGAAACATTTAAAAAAAAATTTTAAAAATGAAGTAAACTGTCGGTGTGACCACCATTCGGCCTCCTGGCTTACAGTCTGCAACCCTGCAACATATTCTTAAGATTTCCTTCCTGAGTTTTCCTTAGTGTTTCTAAATACAGATCTAATGCTGTGACAGTGACATGAAAGCCTGGCTGCCCTTCAGGTTTCCATCTGATAGAGTCTAAACATCTCAGCCCAGAGTTCAAGGCTGTTTTCTATTCTAGCGCAGTGCCTCTTTCCCACCGTACCTTTCCCACACATCTACCCACGTGCTGTCATCCACAGTCCAGCCACCAGGACCCCCACGAGTCCCTAGATCCTCTGCATCCTTCGATGGCTGTGGTCCTGTTGGGTCCCCTCCCGTCGCCCTTTCCTTGCCTGACAAGTTCCTGTTTGTTATTTTAGGCCTAATTCAAACGCATTTGCCCCTAAGCCACATATTCTCACAGCTCGTACCCAGTCAGAATCACCTTTTCTACTCTCTGCTTTCTGGGTACTTGGTTGAGTTCTGTCATAGCACTCATCGTCTGACGTGTGTCCCGTTCTTTACCTGATGCTGCTGTGTATCGACTGTCTAGCAGGTCTTTAAGTCACTACTATTTATTTTTCGTTTGTTTTCTTGCAATAAGTTTTTCAAATGGTACACAAATCAGGAAAAGTAGAGTATTCTGTGTAAAGTAAATTTCCCTTTATCTTGCTCTGCACTTGGCTGGTTCCCGCCCCAGTGGCCAGCCCTGTGTTTCAGGTTTTCGTTGCCATGATAACGTGGTGTAAGAACCACGAAACGTTGGTGGCCTGCAGCACAAACCCTGATTCGGCACAGGAACCTGTGGGGTGCAGCTGACCGGGCAGGACTCACCTGTATCTCTGCAGTGAGCGGGGCCCGCCGAGCAGCTCTGCAGCGCGTCCAGGCTCAGCCACACATCTGGGGCCACTGCCTGTCAGCTGGGCTGGGAGGGCCCACGTGCCCCTGTCATCAGGGGGCCAGTGGGCCCTGCTCCCCACAGTCGTGGAGGGCGAGGCTACCAGCTGCATCACACTGGTCCTTCCCAGGCCTTTGCTTGTGCCGCGCTTGCTGATGTTACACTGGCCAAATCCAGTCACGTGGTTCAGCACAGACTCGCAGTGGGAAGGTCCTGGAAAGAGTGAGGAAGCAGGGCAGTTATCTACCACATGCTTTTCTCCAGATTCTAGACAAAGGTCAGTAAAGCCCCAGATGTACTTTTATGAACATAACGGTTGCATGACATTCATTGTTCCTATACTTTTTTTCCTGGCACGTTTTCACTTCCGTGAAAACAGCGGTTTATCATCAGGTGTGTGCTCTTCCCTTCCCCCAGGCTGGAGGGAGCCTTCTGAGCAGGATGGCTTTGGTGGAGGAGCAGGCCGGACCTGGGGCTGTGAAGGTGGAGGAGGGCCCTTCCTGGGACCGGGAGACCTTCCTTCGAGAGAGCAGCTTTTCTCTTCAGGAGGCCTCCCGCCTACTTTTCAGACACTTCTGCTACCAGGAGACCCCCGGGCCCCGCGAGGCGCTGCGCCGGCTCCGCGAGCTGTGCCGCCAGTGGCTGCGGCCCGAGACGCACAGCAAGGAGCAGATCCTGGAGCTGCTGGTGCTGGAGCAGTTCCTGACCATCCTGCCCGCCGGGCTCCAGGCCTGGGTGCGGGAGCAGCAGCCGGACAGCGGGGACGAGGCGGTGACCGTGCTGGAGGATCTGGAGAGGGAGCTTAGTGAGCCAGAGAACCAGGTGAGAGCTGGAAGATGGGGCCCCAGACACCGTGTACTGAACAAAGGGTAAAGTCGGTGACCCGGGCCAGCTGGCTACAGCCAGTTCTCAGTTGCTGTGTAACAAACTACCCCCAAGCTGTGATGGCTTAAACAGCCCCCGTGTTACCTCATAGACTCCGTGCGTCAGGCTTTAGGGAGCTGCTCAAGAGGGTCTCTCATGGGGATTGCAGTGAAGATTTGTTTTCTGAACTCGGATTCCATTTTTACCAGTCCTGTGAGGCTGGGGTGATCTAACCCACTCTCCTGAGATGGAGAGGGAAACTGAGGCACAGAGCAACAAGGCCTTACGGTGAGTCAGGGCCACAGGCTCCCCATTAGTCCGCACCACCCAGAACCCACACACAGTGAGGTGAGGGGTAGCGCTGGGGTCGCTGGAGTGGGTGCGCTGCAGGCCTGGGGCCTGTTCCAGCCCCGTGCAGAGGGGCCCCCCTCCTAGTTTGCCTGGGGCTGGTGGAGCCACTTCTGAGATGGCTCCCCCCGTGGATGCTGGTGTTGGCAGGAGGGCGTAGGTCTTTGTCATGTGGATTTCTGCGTCGGGCTCACTGAGTGTCTTCATGTGTCAGCTGTCTTCCCCCAGACAGAGACAGAGAGGGAACGTGAGAAGGGAGCCACAGTGCTTTGTGTGACTCGGTCTCAGCAGCTGTAGACCATCACTCCTGGGTCACCAAGTACAGCTCACACTCAAGGGCAGGGAATCAGGCCGCAGCAGGGATTGGACCCTGGGCCTGTCCCGTGCCTGTCCTCTACAGAACGTTCGGATGGTTCCGTGTGACTCCTTCCGTCGTGTACTAGCCTGGGCCTGCACGTGCCTCTCTTATGAACCCAAATACACCTGCCTGCCTCCAGGCCCCAGATGGCGCCCCTGACCAGTCGGAAGTGCTGTCAGAGGACGGGGTGCGTGTGAAGGCCAAGCAGGAATCAAGAGCCATCCAGCTTCAGGCCACAGAGACACAGCTCAAATGTGACCCTCTTGGTCCCTACAAATTTGGGGAACCAGGTAAGGACTTCAGTGGGTCCACTTGGGATCTCCCGTGGTCCTGGGTAGGGTAGGAGTTAAGGGTGTGGACTGTGGGGTTAGAGGGCCTGTGTTGTAGTTTAAGCGCAGCAACTTAGCAGCTCTGTGACATCGGGCAGGCCAGGCGGCCACCCTGCACCTTCCGTTCACACGTCCACGGGATGGAAGCCCTAGAGTCCTCTGGGGATTTAATGAGTTGTGTGTGTAAAAGACGGAACAGTGCCTGCTTAGACACGTCCATTCGGGAGCGTCACCCCCTCCGGGGCCCCTCCAGCCTCACAGCAGTGCTCTGGCTCTGCTCTGGCCCCGGGGTCCCCCGGAGCCCTTCTGTGGCCTGAGAGCGTGTGTGTTTCGGCAGGATCTTCCGATGCCCCATCCCGTGGCTGCGCCGTTCCATGAGCGACAAAGAGGTGACGTTGTTCGGGGCATTACTGTTCCAGGTGCTGACCTTGTACCGGAAGGCCAGGAGTTGGCGTCGAAGCAAGAAGTTTTGAAAGAAGCGGAACATTTTGGAAATAGCAGACTCCAAAGAGATGCTCCCTTCAACTCTAACTGCAGAGAGGCTTGTAAGCGGGGGAGCAGGGCGGAGAGACCGAGGGGGCGCGCTGGCGGAGAGCGGCCGCACCGCTGCGGCGAGTGCGGGAAGGGCTTCGCGCAGAGCTCGGTCCTCAGCCAGCACCGCAGGACGCACAGCGGGGAGAAGCCGTTCGCGTGCGAGCGGTGCGCGAGGGCCTTCAGCCAGCGCTCGGGCCTGGTGGAGCATCAGCGGAGCCACACGGGGGAGAAGCCGTTCGCGTGCGAGCAGTGCGGCAAGGCCTTCCGCCTCAGCTCGTACCTCGTGCAGCACCAGCGGATCCACACGGGGGAGAAGCGCTACCGCTGCGGCGTCTGCGGCAAGGCCTTCAGCCAGAACGCGGGGCTCTCCCAGAGAGCCGTTCCAGTGCGGGGAGAGGCCGTTCCAGTGCGGCCAGTGTGCCAAGCGCTTCAGCCGGCGGACGCTCCTCAGCAAGCACCAGAGGAGCCACACCGGGGAGAGGCCGTTCGCCTGCGCCGAGTGCGGGAAGGCCTTTGGGCACCACTGCAACCTCACTAGGCATTTTAGAACCCACACCATTGCCAAACTGGCCTAAGTCCCCAGACCCCCAGACCCTTAAATGGGGCCTTCTTGGAAAGTCAGCTTTTCAAGTGGCTTCTTTGGTTTTTACCACATGTATTTGGCTCTAGAAGGAGCAGCTTGTCTGCAGCCTGGGTGCCGGGGTCTCCCGGGTGAACCACCGTGGATGTGGGCAGCTCTGGGCAGCCCCCTTCTTCCCTATCCCTTGTTTCACTTCTAATGATTTCCCTCCAAAGTGACCAAAATCACCTGGGGGTAAATTGCTGTGGAGGGGCTGTTCTTGAGTGATGCTGAATACTGAACAACTGAAAAATTGGTATCTGTGTATACTTGTTAAAGATTGGGTAAATTCAAAGGATATTAAGATGAGATGCTCTTTTTTTCCCTGTGAAAGTTACATTTGAAACGCATCTAAGAGTCAGTGCCGTGGTCTCCCCAAGGAACGCGGTAGATGGTCACCAGAGGGAGTGGCGTTCTCCCTAAGCAGCGTTGTCAGTGGTGTGAAACGTGGGGTTCCGACGGCTTAGAGCGCTGTGTGCAGGTGACACCCAAGTGCAGGCCGTTCCCGTATTTCCGGTTTCCAGCTGTGTCATAAATGATAAGCAGACACGTGAATCCTTGCTCGGTGCACTCTTCTCCTTCACAGCCTCTCCGCCCGCATTCTTCCCCTGCCTCTGCCTTTTGGAGGTGAGTCAGCGACACCGAGGACCCCTGCAGGCGGCATCGAGGGGGCCGCGTAGAGGAGAGGGGCTGCCCACCTGCTGCCTGTCGGAGTTCTGCTCAGGCTGTGGCGCCAGCCAGTGTGGGGTCCAGTCTTGCCCTCCGTTTGTGAGCCACGTGACCTTGGGTAACACTCTAGTGACCCTGCACTGCGGTCTCCCCATCAGTGATAGGGGTGCTAACAACGCCCTTCCCCCAGGGCACGTAGGATGAAGTTAACGCAAACTTCAAAACACTTAGGACAGCTCTCACACACTGTGCACTGTGATTTAGGAAAGAAGCGATACCATCGAATGAATGAAGGTGGGATTGTAAGCGCGCTAGAACTGCAGAGGGCATTGAATGACTCTGTGGACGTTCTCATTATACTTGTCGTCTCCACAGTCAAAATCTGAAACAGAATTTCCAAAAAGAGGAAGTAAAAGTTCAGCGTAAGAATACTGTGCTTAAAACCTTTGTTTGTGAAGGTTATTTAAAAAAAAAAAAAAGTCTGTGTGTGAATCGGTTTTCCTTATAGAACAATTAGCTAAATTCAGATTGTCTAGAATAATGCTTATCAAATTAGAGTATCCACATATCACCTGGGACCGTAAAATACAGACTTTAATTCAAGAGATGGGAACGGAGCCCAGGAATCTGCATTTTCAGCAACTCCCAGTGCTGCTGCCGGTTCCTGGAGCGCCAAGGCCATATGGCCCTTCAGAGATGCGAAGGGGGTGCCAGGCCGGTGCAGTGTCCCCCCCCCCGCCCCGCAGCCTCCTTGGTCAGCAGCTTGTAGTCCCTAAAGCTGTGTTCCCCGTGGAAGAGGCGTCAGGTGCCCCCGAGGGCGGTGGGGGAGGTCGTGTCCCCTCTGGCGCAGGCAAATTCAGCCCGATCTTCACACCGGTGAGTCTGAACGGCACCTGCCGTGTTGCCTGGAGGCTTCTGTCCTCTTTGTGCCTGAGCCGGGCCTGCGAGCACTGCAGACCTGTGGGCTCTCTGGGCGTTCAGGACCCAGGGACGAGGTCCCCACTGAGGTGTCCTTACCTATGCTGCTACCACATACCACCCTGAACTTGAGCTCAGCCCCTCGGGTTTCCCACCCCAGGGCGCAGCACCTTCCCTTCGCCTTCCCTTCTCACCTTCTCTACTCACAAGGCAAAGAAAAGCTCACAGAGGAGAAAGCGGCCACGGGAGGCCAGAGGGGTGAAGGAGAGAAGCAGAGAGAGGAGGCCTTCCGGAGGGGGTGCAGGGGGAGAGACGGGAAGAAAGGCCGAATGTGGCGAGCCTGCAGCAGAGAGAAAATGGAAGGGAGAATCTGGGAATGTTTTCATTTTATTTTTCACTTTCTGTTTGAATGATCTGGTCCGAATGTTGCCCAGTAAACTGGGGAGACCCTGGGCCCTGTGGTCTCAACACAGCCTGTCCCAAAGAGGTCACTAGAGGTTCTTGGTCGCATCAGAAGAAAGAATTCAAGGACACAGCAAATGAGTGACACACGGGGGAAAGTTTATTTAAAAAGTTCACTCTTGAGGGGCACCTGGGGGCTCAGTCGGTTAAGCATCTGATGTCGGCTCAGGTCATGATCTCATGGTTTATGAGTTTGAGTCCCTCGTCAGGCCCTGTGCTGACAGCTCAGAGCCTGGAGCTTGTTTCAGATTCTGTGGCTCCCTCTCTCTGACCCTCGCCTGCTCACGCGGTCTCTCTTGCTCTCTCTCAAAAATAAATATACATTAAAAAAAAAAGTACCCTCTTGGGGCGCCTGGGTGGCTTAGTCGGTTAAGCGCCCGACTTTCGCTTAGGTCATGATCTCGTGGTTCGTGGGTTCGAGCCCCGCGTCGGGCTCTGTGCTGACTGCCAGCTCAGAGCCTGGAGCCTGTTTCAGTCTGTGACTTCCTCTCTCTCTGGCCCTCCTCTGCTCATGCTGTCTCTCTCTCTCTCCTAGAAATAAATAAAACATTAAAAAATTTAAAAAAAAAGTACCCTCTTGATGTGAGAGTGGGTGAGCTCAAGAGAGCTGCATCCCTAGGGCTTGTGTTTCTGTCTTTAATTGACAGTTGTTAACAAGGGAGTGGAATATCCATTCTTTGGGGCTGGAATTTCTTGGAAGCAGGTTTTGGTTTTTTTGTGTTTTTTTTGGGGGGGGGGGTGTTTTTGCCTGGTCTTCATTATTTGGTCAGGGGTTTCCAGCCTCCCTTGTCAGTGATCTTGGGCCTGTTTGTTCCGGGATGCTGCGAGGCTAGGCGTCTGGTCCTCCCCACCACTGGCCCTGACTTCTCGGCTGACCTCCAGACATCCTGTTAGAATCTAACCACCTGCTACTCTAAGTCTCGTTAATATTTGTGGAAAAAACATTTAAAGACCCGATTTCCAAATATCTCCCTTTTATTAAAACAAATTTAATCATAAGATAGCATTATAATTTATGGATTTAATTACTTACTTTCCATTTTCCAGTTAGAACATGGTCGGTTTTATCCAAAGATACCAAAAGCTACAGCAACAAACCAACCAAATGAAGCCCAGGGTGTCTCTGTCAGTGCTGGTTCCTCCCTGCAGCTGGGGCTTTACTGACTGAACCAAATGGCTTCCTATTTTCTGATTGCTTAGTCTTCCAGCTGGCTTTCTGTAATGGCGCACAAACACCAATCCAGGCATCTCAAGAAGGACTCCACTTGGGGGGCGCCTGGGTGGCTTAGTCGGTTGAGCGTCCGACTTTCGCTTAGGTCATGATCTCGCGGTTGGTGGGTTCGAGCCCCGCGTCGGGCTCTGTGCTGACTGCCAGCTCAGAGCCTGGAGCCTATTTCAGTCTGTGACTCCCTCTCTCTCTGACCCTCCCCTGCTCACGCTGTCTCTCTCTCTCTCTCTCCTAGAAATAAATAAAAATATTAAAAAAAAAAAAAAAAGAAGAACTCCACTTGGGTTTTCCTTACATTGTCCCGTTAGTAAGGACTTGCAGGTATAGGCTCGTATGTATTGTCCAGATAGCCCATCAGCGTTCCCTGGGGGTGGGAGGTGGTTTTCCAGCAGTTTTAAAACACAGTTCCCATTCATTTTAGTTTGTTTATTTTTATTTTATTAACAATTTTTTTTACGTTTATTTATTTTTGAGAGAGAGACAGAACATAAGTAGAGGAAAGGCAGAGAGAGAGGGAAACACAGAATCGGAAGCAGGCTCCAGGCTCTGAGCTGTCAGCACAGAGCCCAACGCAAGGCTTGAACTCAGAACCTTGAGATCATGACCTGAGCCGAAGTCCAATGCTCAACCCACTGAGCCACCTGGGTGCCCCTAGTTTATTTTTAGACTAAGGCTTGAATAAGATCTAAGGATATTAAAAGTGGTAGATAGAGAGGGTGCCCCCTTGAATGTCACTTCTAAACAGCCGTGATATGCTCTCATGTGCCTCGGTTTCTCCCAGCAAGGCCTAAGACCGTCCAAGGGGCTGAGAGCACCGGACGATCAGCCCTTATGTGTGTCTGTCCTGGACAAACCTTGAGACAGGAAACTCCTAGAGGAGAACAGAAGCCTTAGATTAATAACATCAATTAGTATAATGTCAAGTTAAGACAACCAACCCATAAACTTCCCCCTCCGGGTTATTTCCATTTAGAGAACACAACCCGTAACCTTTGACAGCTCAAAGGCCCATCAGCTCAAGTTGAGAAGGCCTGGAGAGCAGGAGAACTCATCAGATACACTTGCGAGGGGCTGCGAAGTCACGGGCATAACGGCCCCTGCAGGAAGCCGGTGCTGATTTCCCGAGCATCCCCGGGGTTTCGGGCAAGTTGCTCTGAGATCCTACCAGCTACACAGAGAAATGTTGGCACAGAAGGAGCAAACCTTTTAGAATTTCTTTAAAAAAAAACAAAAAAAAAAACGGAAGAGAGTTTTGTATTGAAGCCCGCAGGAAGCTGCCAGGGATGCACAGTCCTCAAGAAGAGAGCTCTGGTAAGGGAACATTTGGTGTTGGGGTATATACGTTTTTTCTTGGTAAAAGTTGCAAATCATTAGACAAAGGGGTTTCAGAGCTGTGTAACCGTCTGGTAACTGCAGGGCCGTATGGCTTTAATCTTATGGCGACCGGGAAAGTGATTCCTTTTTCTTTTGTGTTCAGAAATGCTTTTTGGTAATTTTAACCAGGCAGAGGTACAATGTGTGTTCAGGGCAGAAATAGAGCCCCTGCTTTGAGGTTTTGCCCAGTCGTTCTGACCTTGGTAAATGTTAAAGTACAGCTTCCCTGGGAGCGCAGGCGCAGGGCCCACAGACATGAAAAGCTGACAATTTCCTTTATCGGGGAGGTGAGGGGGCGACTCAGTCCAACCTGGGGAGAGGGTGCGTCTCCCAGCAAAGGGATCAGGTGGGGCAAAGGCCCTAAAGGATGGAATGAAAACAGCTTTCCATTGGGCTTGTGTAATACTCTTCACAGTCCCGGCAGAAGAGAGGGCGTGGCTGTTCACCACAGGCCCTTAGAATTGAGTAACCTGAGCTGCGCCCCGGCTTGATGTTGTACTTGATTGATGTTCACATTTGAGGCTGACGCCCCATCCAGTGTTTCCTTTTAAGTGCCTGGAAACTTTGTTTTTGCGCCTAGAAAGTTGCTTGTTCCTTCATCTAGAAAGAGTAGGTGGTGCCTCACACACAAGTATCAGGGTAATTGTTGAGAGGGGCGGGAATGGGGGGGAATGGGAAGGAA